AAAACTAAGAAAAATTAGCAATACTGAAGTCCCTGTCCCCCTAGATAAATATACAATTAGCGAAACATAAAAATAAAATTATCAGTGTGGTTAATGACAAGTATCGGAATTGACTCATTTATCAATAATTGTTTTTCTCGCTTCGTTGTACCTTTGATTTGTACGTTCGATTTAAATGGTAGTAAGTGTATAGCACTGCACCTGTAACAATTGAAACGTACAAAGAAAGAAAACGATAGAATATAATTATTTGCATTTAAATAAAGTGGAATAAAAATAAGACGATAAATTATCGGTAGCAGCCGTAAAACAAATTGTCATTTGAGGTCTAAATTTGTAACAAAAAACTAAATCTCACACAAACGAAGGTTTTAGAATGACATCGTAACCATTTGAATACGATAAATTTGAGTCGAATGCAATTATTTATTCATATTTGCTGAAATGGAAATTTTACACGAATATACGGTTGCATATAGCGTCTAAGTTGCGCTTATTAAAAATGAAAAAAAAATTACTTAATGTGGTTTCTCGCATGAAATGTGTGTCGGTGTCAATATAAACTACACAAAATGATAACAAATTTACTGCGGCTTTCCGTTGTTTATCTTAATTTGGTTGTGTAAAAAAACACGCTGCACGTAATAAATCGTAACGACGTAACAGATGAATTTGGTTTGTCATACAGTTGCTTGTGTTTTGTTCATGATCTTAGAATGACCGAGAGTTTTTATTTTCGGTTTTGACTATCGAATCTGAACCATTGACACACATTAAACTTTAGTTTCGATTTAAACGTGCTACACAATGGATGTTCCAAGAGAATGTCATTGGCACAAAAGAAAATAATGCAAAAAATACATTCAATGTGATTAATTGCTTTGATCAATGTGTGTGCGCGGGCATTTTTTGCTTTGGTGCCACTTTATGTGTGTGTGCGTGCGAAAGGACAGAGCATATTAATGTATCTAATGTAAATCAGTCAAAACGAAAATCAGAAACATTGCATCTTAAAAGACGAGATCAAAAGAAGGTATACTAAGTGATCGCATGTAATGAATTGAGGTCATTTTTTTCTTTCTAACTTCATTATATGCTTAAATCTTGCAATTGCATGCTTAATGCGTCGAACATAATTAATTGCCACAATTTTTGGCTTCCGGATAATTGACTGTGTTCAGTGAACGAAATTACAATAATATAAATGAGTTGGATGCTCTCTTTGCTCTGCTTTTCTCGTGCGTAACACGCATACGTAAATGTATGTATAAGCGCATTGCATATATGAATCGTACAATAACGACTCGAAGCCCCTTACACAAATTTATAATCCATTTGGCCTATCGTCTCATTACGTTTGTGCAATTCCTATTGTTTAATTCTCCTCCCCTCAGCCCAACGAATTTATTTATGAAGTCATTTTGATTGTGAAACGATTTCCGTTTTCTTTGATTCCTTTTGTTGTCAACAATTCAACAGTTGCGTCAATGCCGCCGACAGCAAAAACTCACTTTGCAATGAAAAAGTTTTCCATACCAATTGTTAAGATTTTTGCTGTTGTTATTGAAGATTAAGAGAAAACAAATCGGATGAGGGACGACCCGAAGGGTAATTGTTGACGTCCACTATTGTTTAACCCAATACAGTATGAAAATCAATGTATCCGATGTGAACATTTCGAGTTTATAATCAAAAATTGGAATAACGATTGAATCGCACAGATTATTCTATTTCAAGTCGATGTGTGTATTGTATGATTTTTATGTCGAAATAAGTACATGCATAAAACGTTGGATAATGGATAGCAATTGGGATAGGAAATGAATCGGATGTATCTGATACAAACACTCATCCGTGTTTTATGTATATGTGGATTTGATTTTATTTTGAATAGTTTATGAATAACGTATCAATTGAAATCCGAATGCCATTGATTATTATTGGGATTATTTTCAGTGTTTTGGCATTCTATCGTTTAACAAAAGAAAACCAAAGTGAGAGAAAAAGTGTGTGTATTGGAGAGAAAGAGAGTGTGTGAGAGAGAGAGAGATGGCGTGTTTAGGGGAGCCAATTTTAATAAATGAGTATAATGTTTGTGACATGAAAAAATGTTCGCATTGAAGTCGACAGTGTCTCAGAACTTGTTAAAATTCATTCGAAAACTGACACACAATGCATAGACATCAAGCATTTTCGTGTGTGTATTCTCTCTCTCTCTCTCTTTCTCTCTATCTTTCTCTCTCTCTTTCTCTCTCATTTCCCTCTCAATCGCATCGAATGCGAGAGAAAAAAATGTTACGAGGATGTTGTGTGTTGATGGAAACCAAATGCATGTTGTATATTTGAATGGTGTTGAACACGACTGAATCGAATGGACTATGCTTGATTCATACTGTATAAAAAGCATCATGGTGCGTTATGATGACATGTTGAAACAATTAATTGACCGAATTTTACCAATACACTTGATGTCATATCAATATCATTTGCAGACCATATTTTCTGTTCGGATGTGTGTACCTTGCGAATGAAAGAACATTGAAGCACATGAATATGTTGAATGCCATTGCTTTTACATAAATACATTTCTCGTCCCATCAATATATACAATATATACACCACATGTGCATATTACTACTCTAAAAATTCACAATAATTTTGAATAAATTTGGCAGTTGATAATATGCCAATTGAAGAAACACCAACCCCCACACATTTACGTGTCATGTAAAACGATAACCGAATGTGGAACAGTGAAAACATGACTTTGCACACACGAACTGTTAACAAAAAAACAGGTAGAAAAGTGAGAGCAAATCAAATGATTGAGGTCCATGCCACATGCTGAAGTGGTGATTACCGTTAATATTTTAAATCGTTCGACTTTTTCTCAACCAATTAAGAATGCCATACATTCCGAAACTTAAATCTAATCATCCGATTGGAAATTAGTTGCTATCACTCTAAACCCTACTTGAGCCATATTTTTTAATAGTATTTCACTTGTATTTTATTGATTGAGTATTTGTAGTAAAAACATGCATATATATATATATTTTTTTTCTTTCTCTTTTCACATCATCGTTCTCGTCACCATTGACACCGTCGATTGAATCCAGAGTGCTGTGATAACAGTGGCGAAGGCATCGCCTTAGCGGCGATGTCATCTATCGGTCAAGTAGTGAAAACGCGAACACCACAAATCGAACTAACCGATCCAGAGCAACGTGAAACATGGTCGGGAAAAGTTGATTTTCTGTTGTCGGTTATTGGATTTGCAGTTGACTTGGCAAACGTTTGGCGATTTCCATACCTATGTTACAAAAATGGCGGAGGTAAGTACCACCAAATTTCGAGACTTTTTTTTATCTCTCTTATTTTGTTCAATTTAAATTTATGGCATTTATTCCTTGGAGCGAAAAGTGTTGGCTGGTGTTGTTGTTTCGATTTATTTGCACGAATTCAAAACGATGTCATTTTCGATAGAAAATTGAATTTTCGCTCATCATTTACGACTATCTTTGCATTAAAATGGAATCTATCAGCAGGAATATGCATAAGCAACCATGCTTTATGCTGTTGAAATTTAATAATCACACTTTTTTTTTGTTTGCGTATGAAAAAGAAAAGACAGAGACATTTTCATTTTTCTCTTATTTTCGTTTCGGTTCGGCTGAAAAGTGTATTTCTTCGCTATGAACGTAGGCATTATCACATGAAGCTTTAACTTCAAAGAGAAAAATCATGACTGTTACCATTTTCAGATCAGAGAGGGATCCTAGCATACACTCAACACATTACAATGCCAATTTTTCGGACCATATCAGACACATTGTATTTACGAATCGTTTGTCTTATGAGCGTACGCTATTTTTAGTGAAGATTGTAAATTATGACAAGTTAATTGCATTAATTTTCAATCTTTCTAGCTTTTTGTGCGCCAATACAAACCCATTGAAGCTCGTTCACAATACACTTACACAGCCACACACACACACACACACACACACACACAAATCAAACATAATGTGCGCGCTCATTGAGTGCATGCCAGAAATCGTTCGAAAATGGTTATATTCAAGCGAATGTGAGTGTGTTGGGGGCGATCCCCACCTTTAAAAGATGCAAGACAATGATGAATCTTTTTGAGGCACCGATTGAATCAGTCAAATGCAGAAAAAGAAAGGGAGAGAAAAGAGGTTACCAGTCTTTTTCATCAGACGCTTCGAATCATGAGCAACGTTCTTTTTACCAATGCAAAATAGTGGCGAAGATATTTTGTAATTGATTTGTGAATTTACGCGCGATGATGGTGTGTGTGTGTACTGTCGAAAATTGAAGCATCAAAATTGAAGCACCAAATATGCCACTCAGTGCAATGGGTTATTTTGAAAATCAATTACCCGCCTTTGTGCCAAACAAAATCTAATTAAAACCTCCTGATGACACATTTTAAAATGATGACAGCAAAGCAACAACATTTTTTTCTATTTTTTCTACAATTTTTTTTTTGAGTTTTCATTAAATGAAAATGATGAGCCCAAAACAACATATGACGGAGAAAATGTTGACGAAATGGAATTTTTGGGCATTTCGGGTTAGCCGCTTATGTTGAAATCCAAAATTCATGTCACAACGATCGTTCTGTTGCGAATGATGAGGGGATTATCACAGATTTCCGTTTCAATTTAAACCATTCGTGTTTAAAAGCGAATGGTATTCGATTCTTGTCAGATAAAATTAAAAGATGGTACTATCAAAGACTATATATAAGCCCGAAAGCCAAAAAAATAAAAGAAAACACACATATTTGGTTTATTGTTGATTTCAATAAACACTATGCAAAAGACGATGTCAACGATTGACAGCATAAAATTCAATTACTGGGGTAGAAGTCGACGGAAATTACACTTAATTCAAAAGCGATTGTTCTATTTTCACACATTGAGTGAGACAACAACTATTCATCAGTGTCTCTTGAATTCATTGAACTTTTGATCACATCAAAGTGAAAAAAACCGAACATTTAAACGAATGGACTGTGGCCGGAGTTTCCTTTGTGCTTGCGTTTTAATCTTGGAATATGCTTGTCAAAAACAACTCATACGTTTTCATATTTTTCGTACCAATATTTTTTTTTTTTTTCAACATTCAAATCGCATGTGTAATTGGTTTTTCTCGTCCCAACGCTGTTTTATGTCAGAATTGTAGCACAACAAACGAAGTATGAAACCATGCCAAGCCGGACTGCGTATGTCAAAATGTCTATTATCGCAAGAATAGTCGAGTCACAATCATACATAACAATAAGAAGAAAATCTCAAACGATTGCCAGCAATAAGACGAACGGATTACGTGAAATTCCTTTTTATGCAATTTTTCGCTTAGCATCGTTAAATAAATCCGATGCTCAGGTCACCAAACCAGGTCCATATAATAGACCAAACATTTCTCTTTGCCATTCTTTTTTTTTCTTCTCTCGAAATAGGGTTATTTTTCATAATATATAATCTGCTCGGCAAAATGATAATCACTTGTAAAATGGACTTGAGCTTTTTAAAGCTATGGGAATGTCTAGATATTTTGAATTAATGACTGAAAGCATACGGATTCGGTCAAGTGCTTACAATTACTGTGAGAATTTGAGCAACGTGGTTTTATGCTTTCATCAGGTGCTTATTTAGAGTGGATGGTTAAAATAAATATGGAAAAAGCATTTGTTTTTCTTTTGTTCATTATAAAAGACTCACAACAATTAATACGCTGTACATCGACCGATGACTAGATACATCCGGATATATGTTATTGCATGATTTCATCTGTATTATTATTCAAGGTACTCAACTTGAAAAGCTATTGGATGCGTTTCACGCAATTTACGTGCGAAAATAATTCATGTATTCACAAAAGTGCATATTTTATGGATACATGTTATATCTTGATTTACTGCAATTAAATGACCTTTTATGAGTCAGTTTTTTTATTTTCTCTCTCATTGTCCGTATTCAGTTTGGTCCGGCTCAAGCAATTTCCTCAGCTTATGAGTTGATTGCTGCAATATAAGTTGCGCTGTGCGATAAATAATGGGCCACGTTCTACGTTTCGTTGCGATGGGATTACGTTGATCCTTGTTATCATCCAGTTCTCTTGCTCATGCACAACATACATCTCACGGGGAAGACATCTCATTCAAACAGTTCGAATAAAGAAAATTAAATAAAAGAAGTAACAGCTCACCACCTGGCCAAAGAGTGAGTCTTTCTTTACCTGAGACACAAAATCACTTCTTTAAAAAAAATACCATCGGACTTCTTCAAAAGTTCTTCAAGTGCATTCACGTGCTCAAATCGGAGAAATTCAGTTACCTTTGGCTATTGCTGCTACTAATTAATAGCATTTTAATATTATCAAGTTTCGCATACAGCACCATTTTTTTTCTCCAGCCAAAAGGTTTAGTGTCAAACACAAGTATCACATGCTCAACCTGTTGATACTTCATCGTTTTGTTTGTGTTCGAATCATTACTTGAAAATCTTTAATTCTAGGTCATCCACTCTATTTTCAATTCCAATTTATCTCTTTTTCGTTTCATTTCATCGGCTTCAGAGAAGAAATATGCCAAGTTGCATAAGTATTAAAGTTAAGTGAAACTTCAATGTTTTAAGTGGACTATTTAAAGTGTGAATCTGATTGGTAATAACTTTTTCAATCGGATTTCAATCAATTTTAAGTATTTTTGTTGGCAAACAATCCGAATTATGTGTCGAAATGAGATAAAAAACAATAAATTCATTCTTGCTCCGTTCTTTTTTTTTTTTTTGCCAATGATAAATCTTTCTCAATCCATAACTTTGGCAGCAATTCTTTTCATTTACATTTTATTGCTGTTGCTGCATGCGACTTCGGCTATATTCGTAAATGTAGTATTGTATCCTTTAACACATCGCATTACTCATAGTATTTGACGATGTGAAAACGAAACGAATGAAGGGTGCGAAAATAGAGTGTGCGGCATGCTTCGGTAGAAAAGGAATTATGGAGAATAAAAGTTCCACTATTAGGGCTAATGTAAAAGGAGTAAATCGCGTCTGTCGCATTATGATGTATAGTGTGTGTGTGTGTGCCGCAGTTATTGTATTCTACAGACCGAATGTGAAAAGTTGTCACTGCTTTTTGTTGTTGCTTCACTTCTCGGTAGTGGATTTTTTCTTCTCTTTTGCATCGATCGAAGTTGTCTTGTTCACTCATTCGTTGCTCTGCTGTAGTCTTTTCCATATGAAAACTTTTTCTCCATTCCTTACCCTTTGTCATTCATCATCACCACCACCACATTGTTGGATGGGAAGCAACAAGTTATAACATCAAAAAAATGATGATTCCATTTACTTACCGCGGCTCTATTACGGCGCATAAAAAGAGGAAAAGAGAAATGACTGTGGCTTTCGGACTCGGTGAAAAACACTCAAAAAGGGATTTTGGTCGTATTCAACAGTTGATTATAGATCTCTCTCTCTCCTTTTTTTCTTCTTCTGGTGGTTGGCATGTATGATTGTGCGTACGACAATAATACGATTCGATTTATGATTCATGTTGTTACATTTTGACTTTGTGTTTATATAAGCTGGAGGCTTTTCGGTATTTGCTACTATTCCATTACTTCAGACATATCCATATATTTTTTTCAACTGTAATCGATTTGAAATTGTTGGCACTCTCGTTCCCTTCTTTTCGAATTATTAAAATTGCTTCGGCGTATTTATTTTCGATATGAATTCATGAGAAGTAAATGTAGTCATTTCAACCAAAAATTGATTTTGACACACACACACGCATTTCTCTTTTTTTCTCAGAACATCATAATCTACAGATTCTACTGGTTTTGGAACGACCAGAAAACAGCATTTGCGCATCATTTAGTCTGGACAATGCATTATTTAATGGAGACTTTTTATCTTGAATTTGCAAAAAAAATATTCATTCCTTTTTGTGAAGCAATTCTTTCCCAATTTGTGCATTTCTTTAGCAACCAATAAGCGGATCATATTAAGTAATTCGAATGAATAAATATTGCTGTGTGTATTGTAATTTGAAAACAAAGTCCTTGATCCCGATATCGAAACCACTGAACGATTTACAAAATCAATTGAAGCGATTATCTTGCATTATCATTGTTGTATCTCCTTCCATTCCATTTGAAAATGAGAAAAAAGGGAAAGTAAAACCTTGGTTACTTGTATAATCCATTTACCAACTGAAAATGGATTTTGATTGTTTCAAAATTGCTATGCTGAACTACGCACATTCAGGCGGGGATGCTGTACTTAAATCCATTTTTGAATCTGGATTTCATCACCAAGAATTTGCTCCATGAAATAGAAAAAAATAAAACGAAAAATCAACAAATTTGGATCAATTGTCAGACATTTTTTTTATCTCGATAAATATAATCACGTTTGTGAATTATATCCATTCCAGCAAAACGACTTTTTTTTGGCTGGTGTTAGCGCATAATCAATTAAAATGGGGAAAATAGATAAAAGATCGAAAATGCTCGGGATGTCGAAATGTTCATTGAATATTTTCAAAAAAAAAAAACATAGATTACAGTCTAGATAAAAAAAATACGATCCGTTGAATATTTTCAATGTACTTTATCATAATCTAATAATTATTATTTTGATAATTGAAAAGCTTTCCAATACTTTCTCATTTTTACTACCTCATAGATCGTCAATTCGAATTTCTGAAATGTTCAAACTATCGAAGTCTTTCTTTCTCTCGTTTGGCTTTATCGACGTGAGAGCCTATCATAATAGTGAATTGATATTTTTGTTTTTCATCTTAATATAGCGTAATATAGTAATATGATGAGAAAATTGAAAATTGTAAAGCACCTTGCATAATGTATTTTCCATTTACTGATGCACAATAATGGAAAATGTTGATGTTATGCTGTCGATAGGAAAAATCACGAACAAAATATCGATATAGATATTTTATGTTGTTTATTAGGTTATAAACTGTATCGCATAGCGACAGGGATAATTTTATCAATATTGATGAAATAGTAAATGAGAACGTACAATAAAAACTGTGATCGAAATACCACTGTTGCACTCACGGCATATCATCAAAAACGTACATCTTCATCTAATAAAATTAAAATGTGCCCTTCGTCAGCATCAGGAAAAAGTATCGAACATACACTGCATCTATTGCAGGCATGCTGCATATATTTACACATAAGCTGTTGTTGTTTTGTGTGTGTGTGTTCTACTGTACAAAAGACTTTTCTATTTTGAAAGTAAGCTTCATGCTCGTCATTATCGAAGCGAATAGCTTGGGTCAGCTAAAATCATTATTTCTGAAAAAATGTTTGCTTCCGTTTTGTATTGTCTTTTTTTTAACGTGCTTTCGATATTTGGCACATTTTCCACTACCAAAACGATGGAAAATAAAATGTTCCGTCAATACCGAAAGTTTTTCAATTAAAATTAATGCGGTTTTCGGTTCAAAGAAAAAATTTAACAATTATGTTCGGGGAAATTACAAGAATTGAACAAGTGCATACTAATCACACATTTATTTTCGTTGTCAATCATTTATTTATCAAATTTTCGAGAAAAACTTTTCAGGATATTGCAATTAAAAATTATAACAGTAAGTTCCTTTTACTCTTTTTCAATAGAATACGACGGTTTTTTTTGGTTAACCAAGTGTCACGTCCGTTGAAAAGCTTTTAGCAGTTTTTCTTTCAAAATCAATGCCCGTAAAATAATTCTCCATTTACGATTCTATTGAATCGTTCACATTTAAATCTTTTGCAGCAGCAGACGTTTTTTTTTTGTTATAATTTTTTTTTTCGTCTTTGCTCTATTTTTTCCGGGATAAAGTCAATCGCATCAACAGTAATGGTCTTAAAAGCCTTTTATATCCACCGTACGGCAGTGGTTCTTTTTTTATATTCGTCCGTTTTTTTTTCTCGATTCAGTTGAACAAGTCGATTGAATAAAATAAAAATGATGAATGTAAAACGGCATTTAATTTTCTACACATCGTATTAAATGGAATGGAAATGACCATCGATTCATTGCGATAAAATATGAAAATGTCCAGAAATTTAAAGAGCCAAAACATGTCTTGAAAAATCAACCGTAACATGGATTCGATTGAAAGTGTTTATGCGTGAACCCGGAGGGCATTTTATGTGCATTCAAGATGAAATTGTGGCTACGATCATAAGCAACCACTGAAATGAAAACAGAATACCAGATTAATGTCGATTTTGATTGAAGAAAAAATATATATAATATAATATTTTTGATTACCTGTTGCATCGCTCACAAATAACATGTACAATGGAACACCGGAAAAGTTAATCGAAATATTTTTGGGGGTGACTAACTTTTCCGTGGATTTTAAAAATCAACAAAAAAATAGAGAGAACTTTCGCATATGACGTTCAATATTATTAATAATGAACAACCAATACGGTGAAAATGGAAAAAAGAAATGAATTGAGCGAATACAAACAAACAAAATTTGTCTTCATAAAAATTATACAAACATCACGAAACAAAGCGAATCGAATTGCTTTTAGCTTGTTCCAAAACGTTGAGCCAAAATTATCTATTCAATAAATTACATGGGAGTTAAAAAAATTCGAGTCTTTCACATTCATGTTACCACAATTTTTTTATCAACTTTCTAACTAAATTGAGAATTTAATCTATTTTCAGGTGCATTTTTGCTTCCGTACAGTATAATGCTGATTGTTGGTGGCATTCCATTGTTTTATATGGAATTGGCATTAGGTCAACACAATCGAAAAGGTGCTATCACATGTTGGGGTCGTTTGGTGCCACTATTCAAAGGTAAACATTAACACTCAATCAATCTGTCATTGAATCCGAATAAATGTCATTTTTCGTTGTTTCTTTGATAGCCTTTTAGCAAGATAGATTTTATGGATCAAAACATTTCCATTTTTTATAACAAAACATTGAGTTTTTTAAGCATAGAGAATGAGTATCACATCAGAATCCAAAAATATACGTAATAATAATGTTGATCGATCAAAACCACTTGCAGAAATCAAGCGAAGTTTTCGATTCATATCCGTCTATTGCTTTTCACATTCTACTCGAAAGTGGTTTTGACCTGTCAACATAGGTAAAAAAAATGATCAAACACCAGTGGCGACATATATTCCTTTGGTATGAACTAGTAGGCGCAAACAGTTTGATAAAAAAAAATGCCAGTTGAAATGTGAAAGAAGCGCTGATGTACGCAACAATAAATGTCACACCCTCGAGATGACGAGAATTATCATTGAAATAACAATTCTTAACAGAAAAAAAGTTAGATTATAAAGAGAGAAACGTAATTCGGATTTGCGATGTAAGCAATAAAGCTGTGCCGTTTCTCTTTTATTTAATGGCTCATATAATTTTTCTTTGATTAGTAATGTTGTCGGAGAAAGTCAGTACATGCACTGAAGTGAAATCATGAAAATCCTATTATCGGCTAGAACTTGATACATCTCCTGCACTTGAACTGTTTCTTTGACATCACTTTTCTCACTCTTTCTTCGAATCCCATTTTTAAGTTCCCATTCAATTCTTCCATTTCATTGCGGCTGTGCTGCGTGTGTATTCAATAGCAGGAGTTAGTATGTCGTACGTCTGACACACGATGCATGCCGTACACACAATATTCAGACAAAGAGGAATATGAAAAGGAAACAAGTGAAACTGATGATTTGATTACATAATAGACCTTTTAGAGAATTTCCTCTGCATTTCAACATCTCAATTGACTTCTGTGTGCTTTCATATTTTGACACCACTTGAAGATTTATCTTTTTATTCGTACAATTTAACATTGCTAGGACTCAATCCATTTGACATCCATTCATTCAATCACTATGAAGACAAACATTAGATTTAGATATTTTTAGCCAGCTGACCCAGTCAGGTGCTGAAACGGAGTGTGATTGTGATTTTAGTAATGGAAGTGTTTTCACTTCTATTGCTGTCGCTCATTTGATCTGCCTGAGCTGATTCTGAGTTGGATGAAAATGTCTCAAATATCATGTTTGCCGTGAGATTAACGGTGTGTGTGTTTTTTTCTCGAACAGGAATCGGTTATGCTGTTGTGTTAATCGCATTCTATGTCGATTTCTATTACAATGTAATAATTGCGTGGTCATTGCGATTTTTCTTCGCATCGTTTACTAATGATTTACCGTGGACATCATGCGGAAACATCTGGAACACGGCAAATTGCGAGGCGGTAAATATTGAACGATTGAGAATAAAAATATTGAATTTAATCACAATTTTAAGCCAATTCTCTCTTATTTTGATTGTATTCAGTTAAAGATAAATACCACCGCCATCACTAATGGCACCTTTAGCAATTCAACACTATTGCAAAATACAACCGAAAACTTAAAATATTCATCGGCCGCATCCGAATATTTCCAGTAAACAAACTTAATATCATTTTTTTTGGTTCAAATTATTGACATTTCCTTCATGTATTTCACCATTGCAGTCGCTATATTCTCGAACTGAATAAAAGTCAAGGAATCCATGATTTGGGTGAAATAAAATGGGATATGGCATTGTGCTTATTGGCCGTATATTTGATTTGCTACTTTTCACTGTGGAAAGGTATCAGTACATCGGGCAAAGTGTGTACTCCATTTTTTTCCTACACATTTATGTTTCACTTTTTATTCGACGTTAAATGTTTTTGTTTTTGGTTTGGTCACAGGTTGTATGGTTTACAGCATTATTTCCATATGTTGTGTTATTCATTTTACTGATCCGAGGAATAACATTACCGGGCGCGATGGAGGGCATCAAATACTATCTGTATCCAAACTTCGATGCCATTCGAAATGCCGAAGTTTGGGTTGATGCTGCAACACAAGTGTTCTTTTCATTAGGACCTGGCTTCGGCGTTCTTCTTGCTTATGCTTCATATAATAAATACCATAATAATGTCTATAAGTAAGTCGTATTTATGTGATTTTGTTCTGAAAAGTAAAAGTTCTTTGGCCGTTGGGAATTCTATTGTAGAAACCGCATTCACTTTTCGAAGCAACTTTATTGATATTCTTTCGATTTTTCTCGATACACTAATTTAGAGATGCTTTGTTGACAAGTTTCATCAATTCAGCCACAAGTTTTTGTGCTGGTTTTGTGATTTTCTCAGTGCTTGGATACATGGCACATGCATCTGGTCAAAGTATTGACGCCGTCGCTAGAGAAGGACCTGGTTTAGTATTCATTGTATATCCAGCTGCAATTGGTGAGCTTAATCATAGCACATTTCCAAATGGATAGAAAAATAAGTGACAAACTATTTTTTATTTTAGCAACAATGCCGGGAAGCACATTCTGGGCACTCATATTTTTTATGATGTTGCTTACACTCGGTTTGGACAGCTCGGTATGTTAAAGAAAAAAATCACGAAAATCGAAGAGCAAAAAGGTCTTCATTTTGTAAAGTTGCGATTATTTTTGTGTCTTTTTTTATTGAATTTCACTAGTTTGGCGGTTCAGAGGCGATAATAACAGCGTTGAGTGATGAATTTCCGAAAATTGGTCGAAATCGTGAAATATTTGTGGCCGGTTTGTTTTCGTTATATTTCATCGTTGGATTGGCCAGTTGTACGCAGGGTGGATTTTATTACTTTCAATTATTGGATCGTTACGCGGCCGGTTATTCAATTCTCATAGCCGTATTTTTTGAAACCATTGCCGTTTCATGGATTTATGGAACGAATCGATTTTGTGACGATATACGTGATATGGTTGGTTTCTATCCGGGTCTATATTGGCGCATATGTTGGAAATTTGTGGCACCGGTATTTTTGCTATTTATCATCGTTTTCGGTTTGCTTGGCAATGCACCGTTGCAATATGACAATTATCTCTATCCGGAATGGGCCAACAATTTGGGATGGTGTATAGCCGGCTCCTCAGTTATGATGATTCCATTGGTGGCAGTCATTAAATTCTGTTCAACACGCGGAACATTCCGACAAGTAAGCTGAAACTTCAACTTTTTAGTCCCTTTTAAGTTCAGGGATTCTTTTTTGGTGGTTTTGATGGGTGTTTGACTAAAGAAAAATATTTCTGATTTTTATTTTTAGCGTTTGCACAAATTGACCACACCGTGGCGCGATCGAAGAGCAAGCGTAAATGGTATTGTAACGGAATCGGCGCAAATTCGTTTAACTTCGACGAAAGCGGGCGAAGAGGTGTGAGAACCAAAAAAATGTGAACGACCTTATGCACGATTCACTGTTTACTATGTTTAAGCTGTACAGAAGCACACATTCTCTTTGGTTTCGTTTTTAACTACACATAAATTCAACTACACACAATTAAACAAAATTCATATTCAAAATCATATGTACTCAAATTAGCAATTAATGCATCTCCATAAGAATTTGAATAGAGTGCAAATACCATTTAATACTACACGTTAAATGTTAATTGAATAAAAATGTTAACAAAAAAATTAAATTAAATTATGAATTGATTTAAATTACAAAATTACAACACAAGAATATCGACCACGACATTCAAGTAAAACTCATTTAAACGATAAATTTATGCATGTATGTATAGTATACATTGTATACATATTAAATATATACAAACACTTTAGTTTTAATTAATTCGAGAAAAAAAAAACAAATATTCCAGTTAATCACAAATGTGAACATTGAGAGTAGCCAGAGTAAGAACAAAATACCAAAAAAAATGCTGTGTAGATAATAGACAATGTTAAACATTAACTTTTCTAGTATTGAGAGAGTTAATTACACAAAAGCAAACAAAAAAACCAAATATGTCGTATGTAAAATGATCATTGTAATTTAAATGATAAGCTTCGACGAATAATTCTTCTTTTTTATTCAAGTCGTCATTCTTGTCTCTGTAGAGAGGGGCCAATTTTGTTTTGTTATTAATACATTGATAATTCTTGTTCATTTGATAATGGCAGCACATTTTATATCCATAATTTAAATTTCGATCATGCAAACTTCAAGTAATCTAAAAACAAATGTTACCAGTTCATACTGGTTTAACTCTCAACTGCACATATATTGCAACAACTGCAAATCGATTCATTTTGGTGTCGGGTCAACAACAACAAAAAAAAATATGTTCATCTGGAAAATGAGAGAAATATGACAAAAACCCATTCCAGCGGCATTAGTCCAGCCAAGAAGCCGATTCGTTCCTGCATACAAGAATCCGAATTATTTAATTCAATTTCACTTCAATACTTTCATTTATATTCTCTTTCACGCTTTTGACTCATTTGATCCAGGTTTCTCAAAATGGGATTTTAACTCAAAATCACAAATCAAATAAATTGATTTGATTTGAAAAGATTCAAATAAAAACAGTCAAATAATTTGATCTGAGTGTCATACGTTTCAAACCAAATCATTTGAACATTTTAATTTGAAATTTTCAAATCAAATCAATTTATTTGTGATGTGATATGTTGATTTTCAATGAAATTTTCAAATCAAATAGTGGAATTTTTCAAGTTTGAAGCACTATCATTCTCATCACTCAAGCTATAGAAAGTATTGGACACATTTCAATGCAATGAATTGAAAGATTTCTCCAAATTCATTTTGAAATTGGAAGTAAAGTATGGTTTTCACGGTGGGTGACCGGTCATATTTTCCCCGGTTACAATTTCCCCCATACAAATCTAATGGAGAATTTATGCCCGAAATATTTGCCATTTTGTATCGTTCACCACTTTACAAAAGAAAGTTGATTGTTCAATAACAGACATCATATTGAGATATTTTCAGCCAGATGAATCAGCTCAGCCAGATATCGTCAGGAGCTGAAATTGAGTGAAAACAATAGAAGTGATTGTTATGGTCATAATTGAACGTACATTGCAACAATCACTTTTATTGTTTTCACTCCATTTCAGCGCCTGACGATATCTGCATGAGCTGATTCATCTGGCTGAAAATATCTCAATATAATGTCTGTTCAATATTGGAACATACTTATGCAGTTGAGGGTTAATATGTAATATCTGTACATATACATGTGGAAGAAAACACAAAAACTCAATAAGTTACATCGGACTAAATACCAATAGATGACAAAATTGAAATATGAAAAAACAACAGAAATACCGAAAGAGAGAGGACAATTTGTTTGCGTGTGTTTAGCTTTCAATATTTATTTGAGATATCGTGTTTATAGGTAGAATAGTGATTGTTGTGAAAATACTCCAATTTAAAGCACAACGACAATTCAATCAACAATAAAGGAAATGTCAAACACGTTAACAAAATCCATTGAAATATCTGCATATCATTGGAGTTGCAGCTTATGAGATCCATAGAAAAATCCAGCCAATTAAATCTGAACGAAGTGCAAAGCGATCATTTTCCTCAGCCATAAAATTATCGCAACAATTGTACGGACTTCGATTTAAAATAAAACTATTAAAATCAATTTAACAGCACCCGCAATCATAGTTCGTTGAATAATCTTGATTGAATTCATCAATTTTATTATCAAATCAACATGTGCATAGAAAAGTAATCAAATCTTTCACATTTTTATTTTATTTCCCTTTAGGTTTTAACGCCAATTTTCCAAATAGTAAATCGACATCAACTCGGTGTCTGAATAATTTACACTATCCTATATATTCAATGTTTCTGTTCAATTTTTTTTATTTGATCAACTCGATAAAAAAGGGAATCTATGCCAGAACCACAAAAATAATTGTACTTTCTTCTCAATTATCAGCCATATTGAGATGAAATGCAATAATTACTCAAAGAAATTTAATGGAACAAACTTAGAAGAGAAAAATTGTTATTGTTACAATTTTACAATGAAACAGCCAGAGCAAAAATGGCATTTTGCAGTGTTTACCATTCGGTTTGCTCTGTTCAATTTCTCTGAGTATGCTTAACGAATGATACTTGATGTAGCCATGTCCAATGTTATAGTTTTGCTAGCTTTTTAATAACACGAATAAATTGTATGTTTAAAATGTTCATTGTTTTATTGTGCATTTTTATTACAAAGTAGAAAGGTTCACATTTTCATTTAATTGAAGTTAAAATGACGAAACTCTTCGAAAATTTGTCATATTTTCGATTTTTATTTTTCATTTGATGATAGTCGTGAATCTTACCTATTTGGGAAACCTATTTTCAGCGACAAATCAGGAATATAAAAATGACACAACATCTCGGCATCTAATTAACGCATCGCGATAAAATTTTATGAGGTGAAGTAAACACCAAATTTTTAACACCCTTTGGAATTTTCCGTAACTTATTTCGCTGATTACAAGTGGTCGTGTCCAAATCTATTGTTTTGGTTCAAATTTAGAGAGCTGTAACCATAAGAATCATCAAAAATGAAAAATGATTTTGAAAGGTTTGCGTACTCAGATTGGACTTTTTGCTTTTTCTAGAATCTTTACATTCATATTAAGTCCATGAAACACGATACATGCTAGGGGGAGACACCAAGAATCAATTCCGAATCCACTATATAAATTACTAATCCAGCTATTCCACTAATCCAAATGTGAAATCGAAACTGTTTTTCCTATTCCATGCACTGTTTCCGTCCAAAATGTTAATTCTGCTATTCCGCACTATTCCACTAATCCATCAATAAACGTCAAAAGAAATGTCAAATGGATTTGAAGTGAAACAATTTTTGCTATTCCATGCTCTGTTTCGCTATTCCACGCGAATCCATTCATATGCGTTGCTATTTCATTGCAATTTCTCGAATCTTTACACGACTAAGACTTTTATTATCCGATTCCACGTGTCTGCCCCCTAGGATACATGATTCCAAGACAGATGGGTTCATCTTTAGACATATGCAGAATATGTTTTGCTTAGCTGTCCAAAACCATTGGAGACACTTTTTCGCCAGGGGGTTCCGACTTATACGAATGTTGCATTTGCGAGCAAATGTTTCAAACATATTTTGCAATGACCACGCATACAAACTAAACACAGGAATGTTTATGTACAAATCACGACAATATGTCGCATCTCGCAAACAGTATGCGGTATTTGCAAATGGCTTCGAATGAAATATACGAATTTTCTTCGATGTTGATGCGAATAAATATACTTTATTTCCTATAATTTATGTATGAATAGGAAAAGTTTATATTCGCGAATAGTAGAAAGCCCCTATTTGGGCAATTTAAGGATTGTGTATATAACCTGAAGTATAATTTTTGGTTGAACATGAATCCGTACCTACAGATGGACGTATATAACATTTCAATTCTTCTTGCACAAAAAAAAGTAAAAAAAAATAACACTTTTCGTTTAAATGCAAGGAAAGATTTTTAACACCGTCTCCTTTTGGTTTTTGCATTGCAAAAAAGCTTCAGAAAAGCATAACAAAGCTGTATATCAGAGCTTTTCAAACTAAACAGATACAGACACTTTCAAACATGTTATTAACAAAATGGAGCTTTGTTCGTAGAAAGCTCATTAAATTGACCGACTCTTAGAGATGGCGCATGAGTTTCATTCTGTGTTGAAGACGGACGCAATTAAATTTATTTAAAACTTCAACTTGAAAACTTATTCAATTCAAAATTAGCATCTAAATGGGAACAAGTTGAAAACACTATTAATTGATTTGATTTCATTTTGAAATTCACTTTTCGATAACAATCACTGTGCACATGCAATTTAACGATGAACATGTATGCTTCAATGAGCGAGATTTATTTTCCCGGAATGAACAATGTGCACATACATATCTAAACTATTTTCGACTCTAAATGAGCTCAAACTTTATATGAAAACGATGAAATATATTTTATGATAGTTTCAATATCGCATCATGTTTGAAACGACGTCGGTATTAAAAATACACGACCAATATAAAAGTAATTTGTATACTAAATACGGATTTATGTGTGAAATGTGACCGTTTCATGATTTTTAACGGTAACTTAAAAAGTATTATTAAAAGTGACCCTTTTATATCTTATCTGGTGCTATTTGTACGGCTTTTATTGAAAGCAATTGTTGTTGGAATGAGAGAACAATAACTAAAGGTGCCAGAAATGACTTCATAAATATTTACCAATGTTCGTTGGTTCCAAAATGAAAATAATAATAATGTATGTATGATGAAAATGCTCGGTTTTGGTATTTAGCTGGAAAGTGTGTTTGTAATTTGTTGTTCGAATTCGCTCGGGGCCAATATGAATATAAAGATAGTGGGAGAGCCAGAGATATGGCGAGAGAGACAGAGAGATAGAGAGAAAGAAGGGTAAAGACTAAAAGAATTAAAGAGAACGAGATGTTCTCAAACAATGTATGGATAATGTCCGAATTGGGAAATGTGGCGCCATAAAGAGCAACCTCATACAAACATTTTCAATAAATGATCCAAATGTGTGAAGTGAAGTTTACATACTTGATTGTTTGCCGATTGTTGAAAAGATCTTCAGCGATGGATATGATCCTATTTAGAATGATTTCGATATCAGATTTCATGTAACAAGTTTTCGATATCTATTGTTGTGGGCGTCAATGTATCGTCCAAAGAAGATTTAATAAAACGAATTGATATAATGTTGATATTTACACTACGTTCCGTACGCGTTTCGACTCAATAAAATCATTTTCAATTTCAAGTGTTGCTTCCAATTGCTCGCATCCCCCCCCTCTCTCGTTTTGCCACGTAGTCTTGGAGTGATTTTATTCGATGTCGCTGTCTATCCGTTGTGTATGTCAATCTTTGGTGATATTGTATGAGAATCGATATTATTGTTTGGCATCAAATGGCGTGTACACCAAACGATCGGAGTAACACGGAATTTTGGTAAATCTTTTCCTTTCACTCCGTGCATTGGCAGCTATAAATTGAATTGAAAATTCGTACAACGATGAAAGAATCATTTTTTTTCCTTTCTTTTCATCTACTGTCTATTTGCTTCGACATCTCATGCGTTTTCTCCATGTTTCCGTCTCCGTCACCATCTTCTTCTCATATCGTACTCGATGGATGCGTATGAGATAGAGCGTGAATGCTTCGGCTTTTGATTCCGCAGGGAATCCACAAACAAATGAATTCAAATGGATGTAAAGAAATGTATCAAAATACAATATACTTTTGCTTGGTTTGTTATAAGCAAATAACGGAAAACGGAAATAGAAAAAAAGAGAGAATTGCATACGAATGAAGCGTGTAAAATGCGCATTCTAATAAACCAACTAAAAACATTTTAAATTCAGTAGAAGGAGCAGAAAAAAACGTAGCAGCTGCGTGAATGGTTTTGTGTCAATTTGATTACTTCACCAATTTGAGATGTAAATATTCCTTACTGTTCCTTATGAATGTGGAACGAGACATACATCGCATAAATGCTTCGAAACCGAAACATGTTAAAAGGAAGTACCTCTCTCTCTCTTTCTCTCTTATTCACAATCTATTTCGCATACAAAATTCCCTCTGGCTGACGATGTAAGAGTGCGAGCATATTGAGTGGCAACCTCGCACGCGTAAACCATACACCATATGCAGTTAGTTAACTCTTTTCTTTCATGCCTGGCGATCGACCATCAACACATAATACATAGATTTTTGTTCACTTCTATCTAGAATGATTTGTATATAACTACACACACTCCCACATACACCCACTCACACATCATTTTCAGGTGTATGAATGAAATCGAAGAAAAAAATGTTCCAACTTTTAACGATGGATTTTTTATGTTTAAAACGACGTCCTCATTTCTCAAATTCAACACTCAATGCTTGCTGGTTCTGAATTGATGGTACTATAGCTGGCATCCAACCACCGTTTGCCTTTTGTTTGCGCTAGTGTGTTACGATTTTTACGGATCATTTAGAAAATTAGAATTTCTTGTTTGTTCGAGTTGAATCTTACAAGATCAAATGGTCAGCCAGTATTTTTTTTTTTCTTTTTAAAATTTTTGTGTGTGTTAAAAACACGTTAACACTTTCTTCATCAGAATGATTTACCGACTCGATGACCGAAATGAAGAGGGAACAAAGTGATTGAACCTGAAACATGCTTAAGATGTGACACAATTCTATAGGCAAACATTTTATTATCGAACGTGCCAATTGCATGGAATATCAGCCTCTTGGTGCGTGCTCATATGGTATACATTCCAATTCGAATAGTATAAAAACGTGTATATTTTAATCATTCTTATTGAATCTTTCTGACCCTCAACCCGACAAACTTACCGATAGTGTATGTGTGTCATTTTGATTTTCACTTTCAACATCTGAAGTCCGAGTACTCTCCATACAGCACTGCTGTCTCGGTTCTTCATTGAAAACTGTGTTTGTATGTTTCAAAATTATTTCATTTTCACACCGCTCTAATGTGCGCGTGCCAAACTTCTAATTGAGCAATATAACTTTTTTATTGCAAGCATAAATCTTTCTACAGTAACACCGATAAAATTCACAGTGTCGAGTGCGAACCTCATGTGACAATTTTTCAACATTATTCCATTTGTTTCATGCACACACACACACACAGTATGAACGGAACAAGAGAAAAAATGAACAGAAAAGCAGCTGCGGCACCGGCAACTACAAATCATCAACATAAGCAACACAATGAAAATGACGAGCACGGGCAGGCGGCAACCTAATATACTGGACAAGACAAATAAATCACTATCGTTTTTGGAGGGCTGTATGCTTAACAGCGAGTGAGAGAGAGGAGAGAGACACATACAAAGAAGCGTCAATCATCACCGATACATACACCAATTGAATAAGTCAACGACAAATGAATCTAAACACAGTACATTAATCAATGGTATAATAAGTTATAGAGTCAATTCATTGACATTACTTGCGATAACCCCGTGTTAAAAAAACCATATGTACGCCGTGGCCAAAAGCGTCCAATACATGAAATACCGTACTTTTTTTCTTTGTTTTGATCTATTGTTTTTCGTTGTGGGTTGTGTTGCATTGTTCCAAACAGACAAACCACGTACTCATATTGTTAAAGAAAACCGTTAAATCGAAAGCTGATGACCAAGTTGATGTGAGCACCGAGCGCGTTCTTCATGCTCATCTGAAAATGTCAGCATCTAATGAAATGGTTTTATTGTGCTACTTTCTCATTCTTATTTGTTTCACCTTTGGATAATTTATCAGGGTGATTGAATACGCGACAAAATAATTTATGAGCCTGTTGTGATAACCAAATGTGTGCAGTGTGCACGTTTACATTACCTCCCCCTCCCCCAATGTACACAGCTTTCCGGTCGATTTCGGAAATGTGAAGCTTTCGGAGATATATAATCCGTGCGCGAAGTCAAATTCACTCTCTACTGTTTCAAAACAAACGTATTTGCTGGAAAATTGGCCAGCGAATGAGAGCCGTGTCTGGGCCGCATGGCGTTCAAGTGCTCGGTAATATATGGAGAAGCGTTAACATGAATTTAATCGTAATTTAATAGAGAAAGTTTTCGAAAGTGATTCTATCTCGCCGTCATTGTTTGAATTCGACTTGTAAATTATTGTGGCCAGATAAGCCGAAGAAAAAAAGAGCAGCTGAGCAATGTAAATGTTTATTCGTTGCTTAGCGGTCGCTGCTGTTAATGTGTTTCGAAAGACATGCGCGAGCACGCTCAACTGAAAATTCAGTTTAGATTCTCGTATTATTTCTGAATCGTATATTGTCAATTAGCGTGTATTTCCATTGCGAATATATCAAAACCATATTCATTTATTCAGCGTTAGCAATTGCAAATATTGAGTAGCGGTTTTACCAAATCAATTGGTTAAAAGGAATATGCATGCTCGATGGTCCCAGGTCGAGAAGCTATACATACACACGTTCCCACAATGGCCACAGCTTAAAACCTTTAATTAGAGTCAACCGATGTATTATTTGCTATGTTCAACAAATGCTTATTGCTCAAATGAAGGTAAAATTGAAATAAAAAACTAACATACACACATGGTATCTATAATGTTCAAATGAGCGACCCTCAATATGATCATAACATGAATTATACAGTAAATATTTTCGAAAAAAAAGATAATATCGATTACAATACAACAATAGGTCATCAAAATATTCAACAATGTTTTGATTCTGACAAAAATAGAGGTAAATTTGAAAATATATAGAGAAAAATCATCAAGTACACATTGTTTTGAACGTAGAGAATATGTTGTGTACTTGTCTATCCATCAAAATGCAAGCTGATATGAATAAGCCAGTTTGGAATGCCTCACAGCCACGAGTATATGCCCGCCAATGGATAAGAGAACGCACACGTTCATATGACCGTGTATCATGTTGTTCTCTCAAGCTCTATCCATCGCACGCTCCGAATAGTCGGTATAGCATATACGAAACGAAAGTTTATCCAGCCAGAGAGGGAGAACGCACAGCTAGACGAAAACGTGTGCACACCACTTGTGATTGTAATTTCATTGAGCTGAAATCAGTTATGATTTTGATGTTGTGCTGAAAACACACGATCCAATTCCGTTGCAAACATCCAGTTTTATATGTGAGGAAATCATTTGAACACGAAATTTATTCGTTAAACTTACGAGAGACGCGTGACTTACCCGATTGTATGCAAGACATTTCTTATCGTTTTTTTTTTTGTTAAATTAAAATTCATTTGCAAATTTCCGCTATAAAATTTCAAATGGAAAAAACAATGTAATTTAAATAGAATCAAAGACTGAAAACAAAAATAATAATAGAAACGGATTTGTTGATTAAAAAGTGATTATGTGAAAAACATTTATTGTTATTACTGTCATTGGCATTGTTGGTATTGAAATTCAATTACAAATAAGACCTGGAAATCGAATATAATCGAAAACAAATAAATAAATAAATTTGAAAAAAAAAACACACTCAGAGACAGAAAAAAAGACATATTCACAACAACAACAACTGAAAATAAAAAAAGCGAAAACAATCACGAGCGTTGTTACTGGTATTGTGATGAAATAATTTTCCTTGTTTGCTCTTCCCAATTCGGGTTTTATTTTGTTTGGGAATGTTTGCAAAATTGTTCGTTAACCACCATCAACAACAACAATAACAACAACAGCAACGATTCGTTCCGATCAAATTTAACCGATTAATTTTTATTGATTCAGTGTGTTCGAAAATTTATGCATTTTTTGTTGCTCTGTTTTCACTGTTTATTGCCTCTCGCATTCTGACTCTTGTCCGTAACTTTAAAATTGAAATGCATCGTATTGAAATCTGTTGAAATTTGATTTATTGCAATTGTCCAACATTTTTTCTCTACTCGGTTTTGGTTTTTGTTACCGCTGCCACTGCTGCTGCTATTGTTGTTGGTTACTATTGTTGTGTTATTATTATTTGCCATGTCGTTCAGACTGAAATAAAATAAAGCGATCGCGTTTAAATGAAGAAAATGTCTCCGTTGAGGAGACTGTGAGATATATAAGTGAATGTTTTAGTTGGTGAGTGAAACGAGCAGTTTCGACAACAAAAAAAGTAAACATTACCACATAATCGTGACAATATCTCACCTTCCAAACTTTCGGAAGCAGCACATAAATTACCGCATCGCAAAATCGAAAGCAGAATATCTCTCGGCCTGTCCGCCACCTCGCTCACACACACATTTGACACAAGGTAGTCCTTAATCTTGTTCCATGCTTTGCAAATATCTATTTTATTCTACTTTTTTTTCCATAAATTTTTTTGTTGTTGTCGGGTAATCTAATTCAAAAAGTGGCGGAACTAAACACTTATAACACCGCTTTACTGCACTCCATCTCTCTTGCGTTCTCCTTCTCTAAATCTCAAATGTTGTGCCAGTTTGTCTATGGGTCTCGATATATATATCAGCGAGAGAAAGAGACTATCTCATTTTGAGAGCTGGCAAAAGGAAATCGCCCGTAAATCTTGCAGAGTCGGTAGACAGAGATAGAGAGAGAGAAAATGAAAATTTCGTGGTCCGTTAAGATTTTGTGGACGAGATAGAGGAAGAGAAAGCGAACGAGTCAATGTTGGTCGGAATGATTTGCTGGTACGTGTGGTTGTTCCTGTGCGTCATCGTATAGAATAAAGAGCGCACTGACAAGGAAAAATAATGATGACAAAGACAGAAGAGCCACACATAACCATGAATCGCAATAAAAACACACCGTAGATCGTGGCATTGAAATAGAGATTAAATAATGGTGATAAATATGAGAACTAATTCTGGGTAATTTTTTAACCAACGAAAACTCGTTCACTTCTCGTGTTTTGTCCATATGGATAATCTCTTTCTCTTTTTCTTCATTTCTGGTGTCGCAATTTCACTGATTGAAATTTAAGCTCGTGAACAATGACTGACAATTTTTCGTCAAAATGATTATATTTTGGGTAATGTTTGTGTTGACACATATGATTTACATTTTTTTTCTCTGCAGATTTTTGTATTCGATCATTCGGAAAATGTCTCGTATCGAAAGATATAATTTGAAATCAGTCTAATATGATACATTTGAGAGAATTCATGATTTTAGATAAACTACGTTTTACATTTCATTTCTAACTTTTGTGAACATCACAATGCAAAAGATCATGTACTTTCGTCCCAATTCAAATGGATTATTCCGATCTAGAGCTGTAAACGAACACCAAGAACATTTTATTTACATTTTCATATATTAAAAATCAAAAAAAAACATTATAAAAATCTAAAATCTATTCAAAGGTTTAGTCATCTCGACAAACAATTTGATTTTCATTTTAAAAAAAAATCTAATTTGTGTAAACAAATATTGCAAGGTTAAAACAATTCTACAAACGAATGAATAAACAAAATGTAAATAAAAAAAAAGCGTTACGAACGGACGTTGGTGAACAGCTCTGTTCCAAGCTTACTACGACGATATTCAAATTTCAAAAGCTAAACAAATTCGGGATAATCGACAAAAAGCATATATATGTGCAAAATTTAACCAGTTATACCGAGAAGGTATTACTGATGAAAGCGAAGCCCTTAAAAAATCAAACATCAATATTTTCCACATAATATTGACTCGAAATTGATGCTTGGTAACGATTTAACCCTATCAAAAAAAGTTACGTTAAGAATGGAAAATAACTAGATTTATAAAATTCCGTTTTTCCATTTGTGGCGCTCGATTAAGTACGCTCATATGCATGAACTTAGCGACTAAGCCTATACCATTAATTTATCTCACGCACAAGCGAATGAATAAATATTGCCCCTACATGAATATTCATTGTGTTACGCGAATATTCGGGAAAATGAAACGATTAAAAACGATGAAAAATTATCATTATTAAACGCATCTTACATGACATTTGCCAAAGAAGAATCGAAAAATAATGAATCAGTTCCTTAAATGTTGTGTCAGTATATGTGTGAGTATGTTAACAACAACTCACATCGCACACTGAAACATACATACTTTTATACGTTGCGTGTGGTCGTATATTAATTGACGTCTGCTTATTCTCATGCGAAATCGAAAAATAGCTCAACAAATTCAATTCCACTTTTTTGATAAAAATCAATTGTGTACACTGTCCAAAATGTATACATAAAGTTCACGCACCGTTATTTTTCGCAGTGTATCATTTAATAGTTAATTATCTAGAGAGAATTAATTTAATCACACAACAAACATGCAGCAAATGAATAGACAAAAAATCATCAAAAGAAGTGAATAGGCATGAAAAAGGGAAAATACCTTTGAATCAGATATTTTATCGCTATGCTCCGAAAAGAAAAAACAGCTATATGTGTTGACGATAGTGAGGAAACATGAAAACAAGAGAATGAGAGAAATGTACAATTTTATCCAGAATTGAGTCCATTTTTAAAAGAAAATCAGTCGAGTGAATTGAAGAAGAAAATTTTCTTTTTACATGAAAAGGACAGGCAATTGGACTTTTGGCATTTTATTTTTTGATGTATGTAATTGTTTTGCTCTGTTTTTCGTCTGCCTCATCGTGTTCGATTGTAACAGCAAAAACATATCGTTGATGCCAATCTCTCTCTCTCTCTCTCTCTCTCTCTCTCTCTCTCTCTCTCTCTCTCTCTCTCTGTGTGTGTGTGTGCTTTCCGTTTGGTTATACGCAATATTCTCTTTCTTCTTATTATTATTTCTATTTTCTTCAATTGTAATAATCACTGACATTTGTGTGATATGAAGCAGCATGAACACATCATGTTAAACAAGAGGTTTTCGCTTCGATAATAGCATCAATTCACCTAAGAAATATCAAGATATAGTTGATATTCGTGTACGTTATATGCATATGGAAAATATATTCAGTGTTAAAGATCAGCGTAGGCATTTCGAATATACTTCTATTTTTGTGTTTTACACAACACATCGCAAATAGTGTGGGCGTGAGATAAAGAGACAGACAGAGACGGAGGAGGGGAAGCGAAAAAAAAGAGTGTGCTCATCTTAACATTGGCATTTTCAGTCGATTCGAATGTAAATCTACCATTCTTATCTATCCATGTCGATGTATTGTTTGCAAGTAAATTCAATAAAAAAGAGCTCTCTATCGCACATTGTAAGAATATTTGGATATGAAAAATGTTTGTAAGTGAATACGTATTGTTGGTTACATGGTTCAGTTCTTTAGTCTAATTCAATAACTTTGTGATGCTTAACTATTAAATGTGAAGAGCACAAGAAACAAGAGAATGAAATACCCGAAGCCAGATAATAGATAACCATGTATCAAGTGTACAATTAAAATAAAGAGAGATGAAGGTACTCAAATCCAACATCTATATAAACAAGTTCTCTCATCGGAAAATGGATTTCATTTTTATGCACGTGAATCCGAGGTTTATTTTTTGTTTATTCGATATCATTTCACTTAAACTACTCTGTGCTAAACTATAGGTTTTTTTAAAAAAAAGCTCTATACGAGAGCTGAAAAAAGAGAAGAAATAATTTGAGCAAATGCGTGTACGTTTTCATGATTTAAAATTCAAATGATGCACAGTGCATACGGTAGGATGGCACAACGTCAGCAGCGGTTGTTATATTGGTGGCGCGGTCTCTGATGATGATGATGCTTGATTTTGATATAGAATGAAAACTGCGATTCGGCGAGTACATTTCACAAACAATAAACTATATTCAACATTGAGCTCAAGAATATGCATGCCTTCAGAATTGCTCGCATGACCCAAATGGAATTAGCCACAGAATTACAGAATCATTCGCTATCCGTCTCTTTCTTTCTCAATTCTTTGCTGCATCGTTTCTCAACATTTTGTTGATTTTATGCATATGCGTGCAAATATATTCACTCAATTTAATGCCAAGGAATGCGAGTTAGTATACTCAACGGACTTATTTACATGGATTGATGAATTAAGGGCTTTTCACCATTTTGATTACAACAAAGAAGCATTACTACTGTTCATTCGTTGTGCTTGAAAAATCTTGTTTGTTCCAAGTCGGTGCCATGCATTCTACAACACACACACACATACGCGCGCGCAATCAAAGAGATAATTTTTCTTTGCCTTTCCGGTAGACTCATACGTGGGTACATTAATGCATTAATACAAATTAAAATATTTCATTTTTTTCCTCCGGCTCTCGCTCTCTTAAGATTCAAGTTGTGTTTTCATTTAAAATAAAATAAAGAGAGAAGAATTACGCTCTTCCAATTATATTTCTCGACTCAACATGCACATTTAATTATTTTGCGTTGACAGTGCAACTTCCTATGCGCACGTTAGTACGTCGAATGTAATGCTTACCCATACACACTTCAACTTTTAAAAGTCCTGAATGATGACTTTTTGCATACAGCACAAAACATTGCGCACACCCAATTAGTATAAACCGAAATTGAACAATTCATATAATAAAATGCAAAATGAAAAGAGGAAGAAGACGAAAAAACACAAAGAATTTGATTGAATAATTAATAAATTGAATTGTATCCTTCAGCAAATAAATGTTTATGCAAATTAATTAATTGATTTCTAGATTGATTTTAATTCAGACGCCTTTTAAAATATTTATCGAATACGGTTTTCATTTCGAAAATGAAATCAGACGCTCCACTCAACATTTATGCACCGTATTGTGCGAGTAAATACACGCAAATAATCACAGCAATGGTAAACATATAATAACAAATTACCCCGTTTTTTTCTGGCGTACAACACCAGAAAATGATTACAAAAACACACGTTCACTTTTACTGTCTCGCTTTTTCTCATCCAATAAAATCACGCGCGCTCAAATGACACGACAGACAAAAGAACAAAAATCGCCTAAATCATTACCGCAGGTTTATTATTGTGTCGTGTTCCTTGATTAAACACAATTAAATAATATAACTAATGCGGCGCTGCTGACGATGTTCAACAGAAACAAAAAGCAATGTTTTGTAGGCCGTTGCTGCAGTTTGAAAATGATGAAAATTTAAGATGCTAAATTAATGCTCTTCGCTGTGTGTGTGTGTCATTTTTTTGGAGAGAGGGAGTTTATAGAGGTGTAAATCCCAAGAGAATACTCTCAAAATATCTCAGCGTGATAATGTTAATCAGTGGCGATGTCGCATTCGCACTTGAAAAAAAGAGATAATACAAGATGTAAAGAGTGCGTGAGTAAGCGAAGAGAAAAGTCATATCTTAAGGCAAACATCAAATTTCATCAGCCAACAACATGGTCTCATATAATAATAATAATAATCTGGGATGCGAACGTGCATTCACATTATTAATTAGGAATTTTTTAATTGACTTTGGTGTTAATTAGAGGAAGTGTTTGTAAATATATATATTTTTTTTTCGTTCGTAATGCTTACTTTTGTAACAAAACCTGTTTCTTTTTTTTCTACTTTATCTTCTCTCAATTTATTTCCCTTGTCTCTTCTCTTCTCACACGCAGCAACAAAGAAAGTCTCTGCAGGCGACAAAGGTGGGGAAAGTAAGTAGACCAAATAAAGAAGCAAAAGGAATGTGTTTGTGTGTTCTTTTCTATCTCGTGGTGTCTGATAGGCAGAATTCTGTTTTTTTAAAGAAAATACGAATATAAACTCGATTAACACTGAAATGGTTTACTTTGAACATTTAAAATACGAGTGTTGTGTTTTTTGCGCTTCTTTCTTATCATCGTTTAAATGAGAGTAAGAGAGCAAGTGTGTTGTGTGCATAGCAAAACAGTCGCTTCAAAACCCCTAAAGCTTAAAGAAGGTTGACTTTCTTTCTTTTCGGGCCTGAGTTTACAAGTTAGCAGTTATTAATTCATCGGCGGGCAAAGATTTCGTAGCATTAGACTTGTTCACACAAGGGAGCTGGATGAAAATGGGATCAAAATATCGATCAATGAGCCGATTGAAAAACCGATATTATGAATTTTCAACTTAAGATATTATCAATACCATTATTCAGGAAAACAAATGTTTTGATGGCGAAAATGGCACAATGAAAGGGAGAGAAAGTAAAAAAGATCTTCATCGTTTAAAATCAAACGAAATGATCCATAAGTGCATTGTGAACGGTTTTTTTTCTTCTTCTCGAAAACATCACAAAACTTTTCCAATTGCTATAATGAGAAAAATGACAAGAATCACGTCACTTATGTTTCGGGTCAAATTGAAGTGAAAATAAAGACGTATACACGCACAAACACATCGAATCAAATGGAACAATACACACAAATAAAATAATTGGGAACTGGATTGAGTGTAATTTAAAAGAGACTCGAAAAAAAATCAAAAAGAAAAGGGAGAGGGTACGGAAAAGGAAAGGCATTTACAAAAGAACTCTGGATTTTGGATGCAAAAAAAAAACGAACGACGAAAACAAAACAAAAGAAGCAACAACAAAAAAATAATCACAATCATAATAAAAACTTTGTATGAATCAGCACAAAAGAACATGACATTAACTAAACAATACTTGACTTGATTTCCAAGCTTTTACTTGAGATGGCTTTTGGGATCATAGTTCGTTAGCACATTTTGTTGTTTTTATTCTGTTATTAACGTCGTTTCTTCTGTTTATCTTCTCATTTCATTCTGTGTCTTTTGCAGTTACTTTTGAAATGAGTTTGGACAATACCATTTCATATGACCTGACACCGACGATCCAATGCAGTTGTACGATGTGAACTTCAAATTGCGCGCGCGAATATCAAAATAAAAATTTCACGCATTCGATTTTCTTGTGCGCTATGAAATTTGATAATTTCAAAACACACTCGAAACCTCGTTCGCTTTGAATTTGAAAGAAACGGATATGACATAAGTGCAAGAATTTTAGATGAGCATGATGCAATTTTCATGAAAGGTTTCCTCTCTCTCGCTCTCTTGTTCTCTTTCACTCGCATTTTTTGACAAGCCATGAAAGATCGAGTCGCGTACCGCATATTCTGTATGTGCTCAATGATATTTGTGTAGCATTCTACACTCGCACATCGGCGATGAATTTGACATCGATGAGATTAATTTGTGAACTATGCTATTGTTTATAATCGGTTTGAAATTCGCTATCAGGTGGCCTTGCGTCTTCCATAAATTCCAATCGAAAAATAAATTGATTTGCTGTAAAATTGTAGCATCCGAATGCATTCAATTTCCGATCGGTGGAGCGCATTCAAAAGCACCCCAATTCGGTATGTGGAATTGATATGACTATATATATTTTTCTGTCACCGGAATATTGCTAAAAAATTACATAAAATATTGTTGCCATCGGTACAAATACAAACGCAGCCAGAATTGATGTTTCATTGAACGAAATGTGCTTTTTGTGGCTTTTTTCCCCATTTATTCACGAATTGTTGATGCGCTTCACTAAATATTGCATTACAATATCCAGTTCGGTGAACAAAATTGCAAAAGAAAATTGAATAAAAAATGGGAATGTGCAAAAACTATAACAACGAAATGAAATATTCTATGCAAATATCCCCAATGACATGTGGTGCGTTTTTGAAATATAACAACATAGTCGACGACGAAGGCAACCGCAACAACAACAACCACAAATATTCCCTCGTGAGAATATATTTTGACTTGCAACCGTCGACTCATGTTGATCGAAATTGTTTGATTATTCAGTAGAAAAATAGTAATTTTATCTAATTGTAATTGTCGAAGAGAGAGAGAGAGAGAGAGAGAGAGAGAGAGAAAAAAAAGTTTCAAATTAGTGAACTATATGACTTTGAAAATGCCAGTCACCGTTAACTGTAATCGTTTATCGGTGTTTTTTTAGTAATAGTCTGTTGTTCATTTGATTTTCACACGGGTTTCCCATTAAACTGTCCAACAACATTAAGTGTATAATGTACACGATGGAGGGAATGGAATCTCCTTAAATCTACGTTAATTCGATTATATTTCGTTCACTTTTTGTCGACTAGTTAAATTCGATATAGTCTCCAAACTGTCATACTTTATGCTACTTGCTCATTAAATTGTTCGAGCGCACTGAACAATGTTACACTTGATTTAAATTCTTCGTTGTTGTTTTTTCTCTCTGCTTTTGTACTTGTTCCTCTCTTTCCTCTGTTTCTTTGTTCGCTTCGCTCGTTATGCACTCTGATACAAAAGTCCGCACGTTATATTTGCTGAGCGCGAAACGTGCTTGCATTGTAGCATGCCATTTGATTTTTCGCCAAACTACTTTTCGTTTATTATTTTCATTTCTCTTCATGAATCAACTATTTCTTACACATTTTCGGTTTCTCTCTCCCCACGTCGTCTCTTCCTCTCTCTCTCTTTAAGTTCACTGTGTATACCTTTTTATCTGTCATTCTAACCTTTTTTTTATTCTTTTTTATTCATTTGACGGGGACAGAGTCATCGCTTGGAAGTGGGACGTATGTTATAATGCGACAGCCATGATAACACAGTGATGAAAATACAATTCAAACATTCCACGCAGAGACAACTCTCGAAATGGAAAATGGTACATCGCTTAAAACAGGTGAGCTGCGAAATCATTTCAAAATTAAAATGTTTTCTGTTATTTTAGCGTGGTGCGTTGCATATCCATTGTACTCTATGTTTCTTTGCTTACTCTCTCGTATTCTTTGTTCAATTTGTGTGTGTGTGAGTGTAATTTTTTGTTTTGTTGCATTTATATATGTTTGAATGTATTTTACTCCGCAACGTCTAGCTTTATACGAATTCATTTTGTGCTCCATGTTTTGCATTCCTTTTTTCTTATTTTCTAGACTGCTTTCACATTTGTCGGTTGCATTAAAGTATCTCTACGGTACTTGTGTGTATAGCCTTGATGTTTGGTATTCTTTCGCGCTATTCTTGACACTTGACGCAACTAAAATGACAACAATTTCAAGAAGCAGACATTTTGCATTGAGAACCAACCAATATCACTCTTTTTATCACAATTCAAATGATTTTTCGACTGAAAATATGGTTGAAACGCGACTAGTCAAATAAAAAAACGAAATATTTGTAAATATCACAAGGAGAGAATCCACAAGTTGCCCATTCAAAATAACGGCGTCCGTTCGGTATATTTTGCTGCTGTTGTTTTTTTCTTTGAGTCTTTATATGATGTATTCATGTTTCTCAGACTCAGCAATTTCTTATTTTTGATATTTTCATTTGTATTCACATCGAACCTTTACTATTTGTTTGGGGATTTTTTGTGTAAGCATCTATATTTGCCGTTGGAGAACAACACCAACAGCAAAAAAAAAATCCATTGAAAGTTTTTGTGTGTAACCAAAATGTACACCACGTGATGACGGTAAAGTACACCATCAGGCACTTGAAATCGTAAAATCAAAATATGAAAGCGGACAGAATGTGTAAGTTTGTGTACATGTTGTACTAACACACAATAAACATATTGTTTGTCGATGTTTAGATGAAAGCTATTGAATTGATATCTTTTTTTGCCTCTCAGTTTTATTTCGTTGACCATGTGCAACAAATACAAAATCAAAATCGTCATAAATAATGTAAATTGAAACGCAATGCGATTTTCACTGGCGGTATTCTACAAACATTTTCGAAATATAAAACGTGCACATTCGAAACAATCACACTTTGATGGTATCAATGATATTCGAAATGTGACATTTGATTGTATTGAAGATGGTCATAATTCATATGTTGAACATTTTGCCAAGAGAGAGGATAACCATTTTATTTTTAACATTTATACATTTTTTTCCTTTTGGCCGCAACAAATTTCGAGCCACATATTTTTCGTTAATAAAATTACAACACACACACACACACCCGTATTTTACACCGTAAACGTGTGTCCAAATTCTGAAAGATTTCAACTTTGTTTTCGGAATGGGGTGACTTGTAAGCGTTAAGAAATTGGTCACATGGTTGTCGAGTCCAAAACCATTTTCGATGCCAACCGTTTTCATTTCAGCTGATTACTTTGTGAATTTTTTATTAACATGATCCGAGACGTCGTCATCGTTAAATGCATCCATACTATTAATAAATATAGATATGTATGAGAAGTAATACAGTTACCTCTACTTTCTTAAAACGCAAAAAAATGGAGAACTTCGTCCTACGATGAGAAAATACGCAGCATAGACCTGTATGTGAATGAATGTGTGTGTGCAGAAAATGTGAAATTAATAAAACAATTTCAATAAAGGTTTTCAGACGTCCGTCATTCTATTCGTCATTTTTTCTCTTCTGTATACATGTGATTGCCTCGTCTACTCACTCGTGTTATCCTTTTTGACAGGGGTAACTGTCTATCGTATTTATTATTTTCATGCGAAATTTTCGTATTTTATTTTGGTTTATTTGGTTTTATCCTCGCATCCGAAGAGAAATCAGACGTTGGACGTTTAATTCATTGTCAAATGATGTGCCTAAGATTGTTTTTTGATATATGAATCGTAAGGAACAAAAGTAAATCATAATAAAACTGCACGTACAAGCAGTTGGTCATAATACGACCAAAATAAAGCTTAAATTTAATTTGGCGTAAAATATTGTAACTCTCCTCAGTTCCATGCAACACACGCTATAAAAAAATAGCGGCACGTATATAACTAAAAAAATACACCCAAACGTTTGGTTGTCTTCAATTTTCTGCACACCAGTAATCATTTCAAATGGGTTCTAGTAGCCCCATTCTCCTTTATTTCTCTCTCTCTTGGCGTTGATTCCACTCATGCGAGCACTTTTCATATGATTTATACGTTGTTCCTAACAATTGATATAAACATGAATTTTGTTTGCATACTGATCAAAAGCCAAAGAAAATGGCTAACGACTCGAAAAATATAATGCAGCGAAGAGAATTCGATTTCGAAGCGAATTGTATGTGTGCTGCTATTTGTATGTGCATGTTTTTTTTTGTTCATCTAAAACTTTTTCGCTTGGTTTTATCGAAAAGAAAATCTCTGTAGACGTTAAGAAGCGATAGCAATCGAGTGTGTAATGTGATATATTATTTCGACCTCTTCAACTGTGCGAATGAACAAGCAAACAAGAATGTGGCCAAATAAAAGAATGAGGCCGGCAAAGTGCTCAAGAAATCCAAAATCCAGAGCATTGACGAATGAATCCCACCAGCTTCACTTTGCCCAATTATATTTGACAAGCGGAAATATCTCGATGGGAGAGTGAGAGAGTCTGAAAAATAAAAGAAAAAGAGAAGAATATTCAAAGTGCTTTGTTTCAAATGGGAATGTTTGTATTTCATTTGGCTCTGGGGGCTGGTGTGACCGATTTTATATGTATACATGCATAGTTTATGTATGTGCGGACAATTGATTTCGGTCTGGTGTTTATTTTTTAGATTTATTATTTGTGCCTAGGGTTCTTTCATTCTGAAATAGACTCACACACACACCCACATAAAATTAACGCTGCTCAATGTCGACACACAAGCATCTTATGCATCATATATCTACACTTTAATTCCAAATGTTGATTGGATTGAATGTGCGTTTCGAATAAATGTGTCATAGAAAAACATATGCTGCAAATTCAAATCAAAACATCAAAAAAACAGTCATGCCTTCAGCCACCCGTCATCACCGCTACACACACACGCGCGCGCGTATGAACGTAAACCATTCGTCAAATCTCTCAATTTTTACGCACCACTTCATAACCGTACATCGTTGAAATGCGATGATGGAGAAATGAAAAAGAAAAAGACACAAAACTTCAGCAGAAATAAGCATAGAAATAAGAAGAAGAAGAAGTTATGATACCAAAAAGGTGTTCACTGAATTTCGAATGTGAATTTGCAGCCAACCGAGTGCAAAGATAAGAATATACTTTATCAATGCGGGAGAGTATGCATGTGCCAAATGCTTGGTCAAATTCGAAACGATTTGGGCGAGTGAAAAACAAAAAAAGGACAAGCAGATAGAACGAAAGTAGATGAAGGGAAGAAGTGAGCGTGTAGTCCGGTAAAGTAGAAATCAAGAGAAATTAAAATGAATAGAAGTTCAAAATGATTTATCTTGCTTAGTGCAGCTAACATAAATTTTGCGACATTCGATACTTTGTGGTACTTGCACTTTGATAAAAGTTTTGTTATTGTCTGGCCTATCAAATGGCATCAATAAATTGGCCGCAGTTTTCTTTTGTAACTAGTCATACTTTGCTTCTTCATGCTGTAGCACTTCAATGACTTGATTTATTCGTTCGTTGGTTCGTCGATGTTCAAACATTTTTGTTCGTGCTCAGCAATGGGAATTTGCCGGAATTTTATGATGATAAAATACGAGGCTCTCGGCCGAATACACTTTAATAATTAATTATTATTGATTGAAAACGCTTATTTCAATCGTTGTGTGCATATGTGTGTGTGTGCGCGTGTATTCGATGATGGCGCTATGGACACTGTCGGTATGTCAGCAAGTGTGAATACTGGAACGAACCTTCAATACAAAGTTATAGCCGATACATATATTTCGTTTGTAATTATGTTGCGTGTTCATATCTATAGTCGTTAATTAAAATTCACACTGAAAATTAAATTTCACGGATCTAGTGATGCATAAAGCGGCACATTCAAAAATTTTGAATGAAAATATCGGTTTGTGTTTGTATGCATAAAACGGTGCGGTCTGATATTTTCACCGAAAAATTGGGTTTCAATGACGATTAAATTAAAACTTCTAGCATTTTGAAATTCATTTGAGCCATTTATGATGTACATGGATATGTATCCACACATTTTTTTAAATTCATTCATTTTAATAATTTGACAGGCCATTTGAGACTCATAAATGAATAAGCTTTGGCATCAATTTGATGTGGTTTTTTGCTCTCACTCTTTGTATAATTCTAATGCAATATCATGGGCTCAAAGAATTGGCCAAAGGTTACTTTCGTAATAATTTTGTGCATAAATTAATCTCGTTTAATGCGAATAGAACATCATATTGAAAATGGTTTTTAAACCATTGCCGCATAGAAACTAATATTCACTGTTCATCGAGATGTAATGTATTCGAACCGAAACTGATTGAATATGAAATGGAACGCATCCAATTGTGATGCCAAAGCTCGTGTGTTCCAAGTCATATGCCAAGAGCATTAAATAGTATTTGTTTGTTTCTGTAAATTATCAAGTGTTTCAGCCCGAATTATTTTCCGTTTTTGGATACACACGGTTCAATATGCACTACCGTTTATATTATATATTGTTCGATCACTTTCCATTTTATACGCAATTTAGTTTCTCCATTAGAATTTACGCCGCACACATTTCTAAAGAGTCATTTAGATCAAACAGAATGGATTGAATTGAGAGTGTGTTTTGGTTGCTTCAAGCGAAAGTTAAACCAAAAGTCAATTTATGGGTGTGTGTATGTGTCTTAAATAGCGGCGTCGATATCGTTACGAATTTGTTGATTCTTTTGATTTTATGCCTACATGAAAATTGGCCTCAAAAACACCGAGCCATAGTAAAAATGCTAGAAAGAGATAGAAGAGAGAGATAGAAGAGAG